GTACTTGCTGTGGTCGTCGGAGCGGGTCTTGAGTTCAGTGGTATACCAGTCGTTGTTGCTCCGCAGCTGCTCAATCTCCTGCTGCAGGTTGGCCTCGCGGAACTTGACGTTGGTGGCATCGCTCTCGAGCGACTGGTTCTTCTGCTCCAGGGCAGACGCCTGTTTGCGCAGCTCTAACCACTTCTCGTGCAGCTCAGACAGCTCCTTGGCCAGGCGGTCGTGTGCAGCCGTCTTAGCTTCGTGCATGGCCATTGCATCGCGGTTATGGGCCTCGAGTGTCTTGATGCGCGATTCCAGCGCCTGTGTCTCGGACGAGGAGCTGCTGGTTGCGGCCTGCAGGTTGTGCAGCGCCGTCTCTGCCTCTCGTCTCGCATGTTCTGCACACACAATGTCAGCGGAGGTGACGCCGAACTGGCTGTAAAACATCATACCTTCATGGGCGAGCTTCTCCTTCAGCTCATCAGCCTCTTTCTGGGCCTTCTCTGCTGTGGCCTTCAAGCTTCGCGCGCGTTGCTCGCCGGCCTGTACAGCGGCCTCAAGTTCGACATCAATGCGGATCTTCTCCGACTGGAGGTCATCATAGGCGCGCGCCTTGGCTTCGATCTGAGTGAGCAATGTTTGGACAAGCTCTACGGTGGGTTCAGATATGAGCGACTGCAGCGTCGTCTCGGGGACGGAATACGACGCGGCCAGGTAGCCAACGTCGAATGTTGTGGCCGCCATGGTGTATGTTGTGGTTTATTGCACGTCTCGGCGCATTATCGACAGCAGTCCTAGGGTGGTGGACAAGAACTGCAGACAAACGAGAGACGGCGATGGGGATGTTTGACGCGAACAAGAAACAGCGCCTTGTTCTCCAAAGTCGCGAGCCAGCAGTGCTTTGACGACAAGGCGGCGCATGGGCCAGGGGCTAGTGCTGCGTGCGCTCATGCCCTTGTCTTCCTTTGTCTCCGCTGCCTAGGCCTTCACCTTTACCTTCGCCTTGCACCCACTCGCACCCACATACACGCCCACGCTCACTTCAATACACCTTCGACTCTGCCCTAATCGCTGTGCGACTCTTTAGCTAGACGCTGCACACTCAGCCCTCATTCACGCCACTGACCTGTCAACCAACCCTTCGCCTTTTCCATCCATCAACCTTCATCTACCCGTGTCGCCCTTCTACAGCCATGTCTTTCCTTAAAGCGAACTCGTCATCTGCAGCCAATGCGCCCTCGCCGACGCCATCAACCTCTTCTGCAAGTGGCTCCAAGCGCAAGCGTCCTGCTGATGGCGCGCCTCCAGTCGTCTACTCGCAGCCGCAGGACACAGGCACCGGCGAGCACGTCTTCACCCGCCTCACCTATGTCAACGATTTTCTACGCGAGCGCAAGGACAAGTGGCACAGTTTCGAAGATATTATGGAGTACCTCAACATCCCGCCTGGTCACATTCAGCGCCAGCAGCTGCGCCAGCTAATGCGTGCCGACAACCAAGGCAACAGGATTTCATGGGACTCGCAGGTTCGTAGTGCATGTGGACATAATGTCTTCTGTTGATACTGACCTTGCATCTTTGCATATAGAACGAGAGGTACAAGTACAAGAGCAAGCTGGATATTCACAACCGGGCCCAGCTCAAGGGCCACTTCCAGACGCAGAAGTCGGCCTTGGGCTTGCAGATCAAGGACTTGAAGGACGGCTGGTCCAATGTGGCCGAAGACATTACCAAGATGGAGGAGAAGAACGAGGTGTTGGTGCGACGAGCCAAGGACGGTGTTCCCAAGACGGTCTGGGCCAATGACCCTTCTCTCATGCTACCCATGGACCCGGTATTTGCAAAGACGTGGCATTCGGTCCAGGTCCCCGACAACCCAGAGGAACTGCGCAAGGTGCTTTTGGCCAACAAGATGACGGCCGCTACCCAGGCAAAGGTCATTGTTGCTGCCCCGACGACAAAAAAGAAGAAGGGTCCTCGCCGTGGTGGCAAGCAGACAAATACGCACATGATTGGTATTCTGAAGGATTTCTCTGGCATGAGAAAGTAGACTGTTTGATTTTGCATAGCGCGGCGTTTGGTTTCCTCTTTACCTGATCATACAGAACGGCCTCTCACGAAGTTTGGTCTGCTTTTCGCTGAACTTGTACATTACACATATGGTAGGTTTCATTGGGTAAGCGTATTGTAGACCGAACACAAGAAATTGGTGTTTAATTGAAAACTATAAGACTATGAGAACTGCATATCAATCTAAGATGTCTATTACCCAAAATCACAACACCACCGCAACTCCATTTGCTAAAGGGTTCCCAAGAGCTCTTGCTAATGCGACACCCACATCTAGTTCTGTAGGCAGCCGTGTCTACTCTAGATGTTCTTATTCTATTCGATCCGGCGCAAGCTACACAGCCAGCGCTCCGTGTTCAATGTCATCTACTTCATGTGCCCATTAGTACTATCCTTGCACTATGCAAAGTGAAAAATACCTTGATTATTTCCAGAGGGGGGTCCTCCATAACTGAACTCTACAAGCGCGAGTACAACAAAGCACAGAACCATGACAGAATAAACTACCCATCCTTGTATCGTACCTAGACTCTCTGGGGTGTACGCTTTGGCAAATGAAAGTATTGTCGAAATATTCATAAGTAACATATAGTTACGGACCATCTTCTTCACTGCTCTGCAGATCGCACGTGCAACTCTCTTGACAAACTGCAGGCATCCGTTCCAACCATAGCGACTATTTGCCTCAATAACAGCCATTATATCTGCTTGTCTATCCACGATTCTTATATATCGCTACCTGGTATACCAAATTCCGCCGTTGTTGAAAGAAGATTTGGTGGAAAGAGGCTCTAGCCCTCCCTTTTATCCCCCTTCAATTGCTTTGGATATGTAATCCAAATCATGCCAAGAATGTGTCCCGACCATACACCCTCGGCCAAATACAGTTAGTACGTGTGTTGGCTCAATCAGGCAAGCGCGCTTCTGATTTCGCCTCCTTCTATGCAGCTTCGCTGCAGCATGGTGGCTCAGCCAACCAATCCACTCTCCCACATGGCCTTGACCGGTCCTACGTCATCGCTTAGAATCGGGGATGGGAGAAAAGGTAGCGGTGTAGGGGTGGATAGTGGTTGTATGAGTATTGATTGGATCGCAACACGTTGGAAGTTTTGCACAGCCAGCCTAGACTTTCTCCCACCTGTTTAACCTGGATCCATCCGCGAAACCATTACAATGACGTCAACCTTCTTGTAAGAAAAAACACATGAACGAAACTTCCGTAGACCGAGTCGAAATATAATTCGTAAAAAATCAAGGTATAAGGTCCAAAATATACAGCTTTTGCATGTCATACACATAATCCATATCACTGGCTTTTTCTTAACCGTCATACCATCTTCCCCTCCGCCCTTGTACTCCCCATATCAGCCAGCATAACCCTCTCATCCTCCTCCTTCAAATTTTCCCTACTTTCCGCCGGCGTCTCCACAATCGTCGTGTACACCTCCGTCTCCAGCCCAAACCTCCCACCAGACGCCAGACTGATAGGTTTCGAGTCCCTCGGCGGACCCTGCGAGACGCGATTCGGCAGCGCAGGCCCGTCCTCGTACAAATTATACCGCGAGTTCTGCTGTGTTGAGGCAAAGCAGCGGGGGAAGATGAGGGTGAGGAAGCGGCGGAGGGCAGGCATGCAAACGCAGAAGACGCCGACGAAGGCTTCGAGGGTGGACCAGTAGGCGGTAGGGACGTAGTCCCAGGTTGGGTTTGAGGATTTTTTGAAGATGACGAGGGATTGCAGGCGGAGAATGGCGACGATTAGTGTACTATTTTGCTCTTATTAGCCATCTCCGACTTACGCATAGGTATACTGGAGAGGGGAAGAAAGGGACTAACAAAACGCCAACACTAAACATGGCAATGATGTAAAGCTTATTCCGCAAACTCATTGCTAGCTTCAGTAACTCGGGAATCGGGAGTGCGAGCACTAGAATCTCAATCACAATGTTGACGGCTGCGGCCGAGGCGGCGAAGATGTGGAAGTTGATGCAGGTCCCTTTGTGTTGGCCGTCCCAGTTCGTCCATATGTAGTCGATGGGCGTGCAGTTGAAGAAGGTGACAGCGGTGAAGATGATGCCGTAGGCCACACACAGCGCCATTACGACGTAGGCGCGCCGGCGAAACTCGGTACTGGGAAAGATACGGAGGCAGCAGGCGACAAACGACATTTTCGTCAGGGGGAGCACGACCGAGTACGATATCTCGGCTATCCATGTATACTTGACATGTCAGCTACCAGTATTTAACGTTTTCCTCCTCAATTCTTGTCCATCTTTGGGCGCCCCCTTTAATAGGGCAAAGAGGGTTTTGAGGAAACAAAACTGAGCTTCACATACTTTCATGATTAGAGTAATGTTCTCGGGAGTGACGGTCCATGTGTCTCTTCCGTTTCCGGCATCTAAATTCAAGAATTGCATTACGCCTAGTGGAATGGCGCTGATGAAGGCGAGCACGGCGAAAAAGTCATCGAGAGCAAAGCCTTTGCCTACGATATAGCACCGCGCTGCAACGGAGAATAGCGCGGCGCCGCCAGAGACCCCAGTTATGATTGGGGAGATGTATGTTCTGTCACGGATGGGGCGGTCGCAAATGGTTGCTGTGGTGTTTTGGGCAACTGTGGGTTTTGTTAGTGTGTTGTTGGAGTGGGCGGTGGGGTTTCCTTGAACAAACCCAAAGCTTCTCTGACAGTGCATGATGACTTGATGCATTTATTGGTAGTATCGAGGTATTTCTGGTCTGCGCATATGCAGGTTACATCTGCTGGCGTGCAGGTAGTCTGTGTGGTGATACTCGATTCGTAGCATTCCGTCTTTGTCCCCGATTTAGTACTTGGCGGCTACTCAGATAGACAAAGATGTCACTTACTGCGCATGCTGGCATCTGCTGTTGACACGACACTGTCCAAACGAGCAATATGAAGACAACGCAAACATATTTCAGGATCCCATGAGGCTTCATAACCAGTACTTATTTGCCGAAGTGGTCAGGTCGGCTGACTGACGAGATGTTGTAACATGGAATACTCGTGACGAGCTTGGAATCGACCGCAAGAGCAAGAGATCAATCAAACAGAACAAACCAGGTAGCCTTTCGCTACAATTACATAGGAAAGGGTTTTGTTCGTGTGGAGCCAAAACCGCGTCCCACAAATAGATTGACATATGACTAGAGGCAGACCTCCATGGGCATCCCTGTTCACCCCATGTTCCATTTGTGAAATTGAGATTCCAAGGGGCTGCAAGTACCTGGCAGTTTACCAGCTTCCGCTGTCTAATCCTTGTCGATTTCTCAGCGATACGAGGCGTACATGCATGGTCTACTTGTCAGATGAGGCGCCTTAGCATGTACCTTAGTGACTTGGCACGAGTCTGTTCCGCCCCCGAACTATCACTCATTGCGAGCACTAATATAATGTCACTTCAGCACATTATTGCTGCTTGTTTTGCCTCGAACATGTCGCCAGTCGTAGATGGGTTTCAGCTGTTGAAAGAGATGGTGGGCGACGCTGAGTCGCCATTTGCCAATGCCTGGCAACTCTAGCTTTTATGCCTTTCGTAAGCATGCAGCCTAGCACCCCTACGGCTCTTCATTCCATGGGACTAGGCCGAACTATAAAGACCTTGCCGTCGTTGTTTTTTTCGCTCAAAGCCCAGACTTCGGTCTAAGTCCTTGTGGCTTGCGTGATATCGGATGAATGTGGGGGCGGCCCGAGTCGAACAACAATAAGTTCGGCAACAATGTCTCCTGCTACATTCATCCAACCATGAATCGCATCCTCATCAACAGCGAATCATTTTATCTTTGGAAAGGGGTTGAACAGGAAAAGTGTCCCATACCTGACTTGCCGGCAAAGGCATCCGGCTTATCTTTTAAGGCACCCTGAGCTCTGTACGAAATTATTGCGACTACTTCCCTGCTCAACTACATGCGTGCATGGGGATATACCGAAGAACGCCCGCCTTTGTGCCAATCACCGTCCGTGACCTGGTCAGTCGGGAGGCAGCATATCCGCCGTTGCGGTATCCGCGATTCGCTAACCACCTTAATCCATCTTACTATTACACAGTGCATGTACACAATAGGAACAGTCTACTTCGGCAGTTTTCCCACGTGTTCATCTGACGAATCAGAAATGAGGATTTCATCTCACTAGTAGTGTTGACCAATGGCAGATGAGGTACCTGCGATGCACGTAATGTTAGTTAAACAAGTCTTGGCTGGGCCCAAACATCTGTCACAATATGCGCTTTGCCCTCCAAGTGAACTCTTATCATAAGTCAAGCACTCTTTGCATAATATGTCAGTATGGATGTCTCTGCGTATGCAGCATATAGAGTGTCATGTTCATGGAGAACGATCCTAACACGGTGATCTGGAGTATACCTGATTTATAATCCCTATTGATATCCATCCCAGATCGGAGCGAAGCTAACTCTTTTGAGACCAAGGGCTATGGTTCTTGGTCTTTAGGTTGACGGGGGGATGTTCGGCAACCTTCATCCACAAGAAGGGCCGATACAGCTGTGCGTAAGAACCATACACTGAGAGAGATGCGTGCATACGTACTACACAGTACATATTGGGTTTCTTTTCGCTTGGCGCGACCCTTAATTGAACGGGTCCACTTAGAAAGAAGCTTATGGGTTGAGCCGACGGTCGCATCGTCGAGAGTCGAGAGTCCAGCGGTGGTATTTGTCCGTGAACGACATCTCTCTTACCAGATCTGCATTGCCGTGGTTCTTGGAAACGTGTCGATTCACTCACCCCAACCAATTGCCAATGGAGGTCTTCCATACATCGTTGAGGCGGTGCCAGCACTGTAGTAGCGTTGAACGAGAAAGTCCGAGGGCGGGCCCATAACGTCCAGAACACATTCTTGCCTAATCTGTGGTTTTTATAATCAATCGCACTCGCAATGTAGCCGAAGCAGGCTGGGCACCGGAGATATGGCTACAAAGAGCCCAGTTCGGCGATGTAGATCAACGATTGTTTGGTCCTGAACAAGAATGGACTTCGTGCTTCTTCTCCTACTAGCGTTATCTCTCTCGTCTCGGTAGCTTGTGCGAGAATACCATAAACGGCAGATACGTCATTTTCTTACAGCGCCGTTTGTGCCACTCAGCAATGTGGAAACTAGATGCGTGAGTAAGGCAGTACTTAGCTACGAGGGACGCGAGCTAACGATATCTGGCTAGCGTATAATAGTAGACCAAGCTAATCGAATGCGGTGCTCAGCTCGGCTTATTATGGAACAAAATCGTTGTTCTCAAATATGCAGATCCCCCCACACACAAAGTTGAACCATAGAACTTCAATTTATTGTACCGAACGAGATCTAATATCATTTGTGCAATAGGCCCTTGCTGCTGAAGATCTGATAGCCTTGAGCCGTTTGTATCTTCAAGTACTAAGACTGAGGTGTCTGGAGAACATGATTCTCATAACCAGAATCGTGTTTCCTATGCGAATCCATATGACTTCAGCTACTTGCGGAGTAACATCGGAAATATCTCTTAGCTGAACACAGCAAAGCATCCCCTGCACCTTCAAAGAATAGCATATAAGAGGAGATAGGTCGAACTGAAACAAGAACGCAAAAGGCATTGTAATATGGTAGGCGGAATCAGGCATTCTATATGTCTAGATTACGCAACGTAGTGTCAAATATTGCAAAAGCAATGGAAGCTATTTGGAACGGCAAAGCGTAAGCGTAGTTTCATCTGTATGCCAATCCACACAGCTCAGAGGACTTTTAGGTAATCCAGACGTCTGGCGCGCTGATGCGACAGTCGTACGGTTCATCGAAAGATTATTCGGCATCACCTGGCCCTTGTTACGGGCTGAAGAATACCCATCGTACGGTTTATCGAAAGATTGTTTGATATTACTGGGTCCTTCTTACGTAATGACGATAACCTCAATTGGTGGTCGTATGCATCATTACAAGAGATGTGTTTCTGCGTACCAGAGGATCATACATACTGCTGGGCAGGCAATCTCTAAAAAGTTATTGGACATTACCGTATCGGCAGATCTGGGCATGTTGGATCATCCAACGCTCTTCTTAGCGAGGTAACACTGCATTAACCTACCTAGATCTTCATAAACACTACTTTTGAGTATGCCCTAGCCGTTTTAGTGGTCGTCGCAGTGTACGTTATTGAGAAGCTATGTCATTCGACGACTCTGTCGAATAAAATATACTGGAGCGGGATAACTGTTAAATCCTCATGTTATTAGTGGTAAATTAGACGATTGTGGTCTGTGATGGCAGGAATTCTTTAGCTTGTAGTTCATGTACTGATGAATTTGACCAAGTGCTGTGGCTTGGATATTGAACTTTGGAATATACCAAACACAACATTCAATATCCAGCACATTCAACTCAAGGTAGCTCAGCAATCACACATCAAACAACTCGTGCAAATGGTAGCGATGTGCTTACTCATCACGCCTCCATGCTATAGCCTTCAGTTAGACCAATTTACTTCTAAAGCCGACAAACCTTCCCTCTACAACCTTCCAGATACAACTTTATAATCAACGATCAACTCCATGTCATTGTCTCTGACGATGATGGCTCGAACAGTACCTTTGCCACTGTCGAAAGATTCAATAAGGCGAGATGAGAGACCCTCCTGGTCGAGAACAGGGAGACCTTGCTTGACATCACCACCCTCGGTCATGACGACGACGCGACCGTCCTCGCGGATGTCGAGAACACGGTACTGCTTGAAGACAGGACCAAGCATATTCTGGACAACGACAGAGGGGGCAGGGTTGGAGATGAAGCTAGAATCCTCATGGAGCTGCTTGGTGAAGAGATCAACACCGAGGTAGCGGTGCTGGCCAGTCTGGGAGGAGGTGGTGATGCGGATGACCTGGCAAGGGCGGCCCTGAAGGATCAGGAGATCACCAATACGAATGTGGTGGCAGGGGATGGTGATGGTGTTACTTGTGGAAGTCTCCAGGCCGACGTACTCAGATTCGGCACCAAATCTGTAGACAGCGCTGCTACTAGGGAAGTTACGCACGGGAATCGTGATGGTGTTGGCTTGCTGAGATGACTCGTGGCTATCATCCATGGACAAGCCACTGCTGGATCGGCTATTTTGGCTGGAGACTCCCTCATCTCTTTTAGCCTCAACTTCTACCTCTTGCAGCATCTTCACCACGTGGTCATGGCCTTCCTCTGCTGCTATCTTCATTGGGGTCCATCCTCTTATATCCCTTATAGAAATATCTGCGCCCTTCTTCATAAGCACTCCTACAACTCTATCATGTCCTCTTGCCGCTGCCAAGTGCAGTGCAGTCCATCCTCCCTCCATAGTCGCGTCAACACTCACTCCCATTCTTACAATTGTCTCTACTATATCTGCAAACCCTCGCTCTGCGGCCAAATGTAGCGCCATCCACCCTTGATTGTTTTTAGCGTAGATATTTGCTCCTCTCTCTACAAGTATCTCTGTAATTCTCTTGTGAGCCATGATAACCCCAAGGTGCAGGGGGGTCCATCCTTCTTTATCCCTCTGATCAATCTCTACTCCCTTTCCCGTCAAAATCTTTGCTTCTTCTAGAAGTCCCTCCACTGCCCCTTCGTGTCCCCGATCTGCTGCTATGTGCGGCGCACTCCATCGGTCCATGTTCTTCATGTCCAAATCTGCTCCCTTCTTTACCAATGTCTTCATTACTTCTTCATAGCCTTTCTCCGCTGCTATATGTAGGGCGCTCCATCCTCTTCCATCTGTAGTGTTTACATCCGCTTCTGCCTCTGTGAGCGCTGCTACTGTCTTATTGTGATCACCTACTACTGCTAAATGCAGTGCAGTCAGTCCTTCTTTATTCTTCATGTTGACATCTGCTCCCTTCCCTGTTAATTTCTTCGCTCCCTGAGTAAGCATTCTCACCACCTCTATGTGTCCTTTCTCTGCAGCTATATGCAGCGCACTCCACTCTTCCTTGTTCTTCTTATTCAAATCTGCTTTTGCTACTACTAGTACCTCCACGACTTTCTTATGTCCCTGTTCTGCCGCTATGTGTAGCGCACTCCAACCCTCTTTGTTTTTTATATCCGTATCTGCTCTCTTCTTCACCAGAACTTCTACGACCTGATGATACCCTCTTTTGGATGCTACATGTAGTGCACTCTGTCCTCTCCTGTCACTTTCGTTAATGCTCGCTCCTTGCTCTATAAGTATTTCTACTGTGTCTTTGTCTTTGCTTAAGACTGCTAGATGCAGTGGCCTCGATCCCTCATCATCCTCCGCATTCACATCCGCGCCTTTTGCCGCCAGTACCCTAGTCTCTTCTTTGCATCCTTTCTTTGCCGCCAATTGTAGCCCTTCGTTCATTCCAGGCATCTTGTGTTTTTGTTTCAATACTGGGATAATGCACATGTAAGCATTCTCTTTCGTACCCATTCCACTATCTGCAAAACAGTCTGCCATCTCTTCAATCCAGTCATTCTGTAATCGGAAAGAGTCGCCTTCCGCAACTTTGCGTTCTCTTGTCTCTCCCTTCAGGCTTCCAACTCTTTCAAGACTGACCGCCAGGGATAAGGCAAATATGTCTTGGGCGCACATCATTAATGTTTGGTTCTGAGAACACACCAGCATCTCAGGTGATGGTGTTACGTCTTGGAAGCCAAACTTTTGGGTGTTCTTATGACTCTGACTACACAAACTGAGGTCTCTCTGAATCCATATTTTGTACCAGAGCTCATTGTCTTCTTGTGTGCCACTCGAATCCAAGGTGATCAGACGTGTGGTTTCCCCATGTCCGCTGGCTGTGTCTCCCGAATTAGTGCTGTTGCAAAGCGACCAAGCCCATACTCCCAATAGTGCCTCGAGCTGGAGCACATCTACCTTCCATATTGAGCTTTTATTACGTAAGTTGAGAGTGAAGGAACTGTCATAAACCTTCCCATCGGTTTCTGACTTCCACGTATATTCGAGAGGTATGCACTTATCCGAGGGACTGTGCGGCAACGGAAGTTGCAAAACTCGCCTGGCACCATCAATGACCGACTGTAACCGCGTTGCCATCTGCTTAACAGGGTTACTGTGCCATGAGTGGTCTCCTATCCCACTGGTCAAATCAGCAAGGTCAAACCTGGTTTTCAACGCACGTCCTCCCTTATCTAAAGAAGACCCTACAAAGTTAAGACACTTTTTTGGTAGTTTGCTATTATGATCATACAACATACCTCGTGACCGTTTTTCCAACCTCTGAGTACAGATACTAATCGCACTGACGTCCTCGAGGTGTAGCGCTAAGAAATCTAACTCGTGGCCTATAACCTTTTTTCTTAGGTTAAGGTCGTTGCCGGAACATGCAAGTATATCTCGGCTGTTGTCCATCCGCTGGGTTCGAAGGCCTGCTCTTACAACTGCCATGATCAAGGTAGAAATCAGTTGAGCGACAGTGACAGATGAGTGCATCCCTCTGAGTCCAATAAATTGGACTACAAAACCAATTGTCGTCATGACCACTGCTGTCCATAGGATAATGTCTACCCATGGGCGATCCCGGTCGGTTCTCGATGACCTAATGTACTCAGCGTCGTCGCTTTTCCCCACAAACGCTTCGAAAACCTGATCGCCAATCTTTTGACCACCTGGTTGTATCCAGTATAACTGGCTTGTAACGCGATGGTTCCGCTTATAATATATCTCATCCGTCTGATTTTCAATGATGTAAGCGCAGAGAAACATGCCACAGCACACCAATAGTGTACCGGAGAAAGTCAGTGGGAAAGCGTATCTCTCTATCGGTTTGTCGTTCAACAAAAAGTTTTGAGGGAACCGGTAAGCAGTCAGTCCTGCATAGACCAAGACTCCTGTGACGATTAGCAATGTTTCATTTGCTTTATCTGTCAACTCACCAATCTGCAGCGTTAGCCCGAGGATAGCTGCACCGTAGGTGAACGCTTTGCGTAGCCTTTTGATTCCAAAGTTCAGCGAGAGATTAGGGCTAAGGTGTCCACGGGTGTCAAACTGGGAAGTTTTTTCGTCTCGTTCGACAATCCATGATGGTTCTCCACTGGCCGACTCCTTACTTGCATCTTCCTTCAGTTGTCCACAAGCTTGGTCGAAGAGCCTCATGCACGTTTCCTTGTCTTTGTTCGTAGTCCTTACTATTTCTAGGATTTGTGGTCTGCCAAACACTCGAGCGATTCCACCTTGGTTCCACAATTCAGATGTCGTTTCTGATGTGCAGGATAGCAGCTCAGCTTCCGCAATCCCAGGACCTTCTTGTGCTCTTCCAATAAAGGCTCGCAGAGAGGGGCTGCCACAAACACGGATTGCTGAAACCACAGCCGTAAGGATTCCCAATGGCGCTACTGCAAATATTATGTTGTCCCATGTAGTCAGAGATTCGCTTAGAAATTGCTTTGTCACTTGCTCGCCAAATAGCGCAATGAGAGGTCCCTAATCCGGGATCAGTCAGCTTATAGTCAAATTCTGAGCTTTTTTCCAGGAAACATACTAAGTCGGTTGCCAAGTTATTGGTGAAGTCGTCCCATTCGAATGCAGCAGTGTTGGGGAGAAAGGTCAAGGTCAGAAGGACCGAATACAGCCATGAGATTGACATGTTTTGCCTTGACAACTGTTAAGTACCTTTTTCACTCACGTGTTAATTATGGGAAAAAGCAACCCTTTTTGGTAAGATTGTGTTGGATTGACTGAAGAGAAGAAAAGTCACTGATACTGCCGACTATTGTTTGGAAACAAGAGGAAACGCAAAGATTGAGATTGCCCAGATGGGAGCCCGTTTAGGTATCTGTGCGTTGTCGCTGTATGCGGTACCACTACGACTTGCATTAAGTTATTGTGTGGCTTAGACTTTTCGCTACAGGGATTTGATAAATTAGAAGCGGGGCTTGCATTTGTTGCAACGAGCTGCTTCGCCGAAGTGATACCAACCTGCCTGCGATCTGCTTTGCTTTTCATAATGTACACAGGAACAGTTCTTGTGGTTTATGACGCACATCAGACTTACGCGAATTTGAAGAGGGGTTTGCACTGCTAGTAGGAAGTCGGCTTTTGGCAAGATACACCAGCTCAAAAATAACTCAAGCTGAGAAAAAGAAAAATGAGGCGGGCCGCCACTCTAGGCAATACTAGGCGGTAATAGCCACAAAACATTAAGTACACATTGCTCCTGTAGTCAATACACACGTGATAATAGCCAGATATGATAGGTCTGATTGAGACAGAACTCGAGATGCGCTTCTAATCACTGACAAAAAAACGTTTAGCAAAAAGAGATATGGACCACGTTGCATCAAATTCCCCTTGAATGCGTGTACAAGCCCACATGGTGTATCCAGAAGTTTTAGAGACATATCTAACCCTATCTCTTTTTGCGTCAAAGTGTTCACTGCCCATGACATCGACTTGGCCTAAGGAGAGACTCTCGATCGACGGTCCCATTGCATGCAGGACAAAGGTGAATATTGGTTGGCCTACAGGATAGACGAAAACGTCCTTGACAAGAGGCCACTCTCACAGAGCCGAGTGGAACACATAGGTACTGGCGCAGGCATGAGCAAGCGGCTCGGTGTCAACAGAAGAAGAGTTATCAATTCATCCTTGTCCGTTATTTCATATACACATAACATACTATGCAGTCACAGAGCGATAGGCTCATTCGAGTGTAATGGTATGGATTACACACGAACCCAAAATAAAAAAGCGCTCCGGCCCGACGCAAGCACACACGCCCTGCAGGAAGGAAGCCTTGTTGTGCGTGCGATGGCTTGCATCTCGCCCAAATCTCATGCCGAGCTACCCGGTTGCTAGTGGCGTGTATGCATCTGCTGTCACATCGGCATCAGGGCTCGGTCCAATACTCCAAACGAGAGTAAGCAATAGCTATGCACCACACATAAACGAAAAGATTAAACAACGGTCAAAGCAATGTACCTAATAATTCTTACCACACAATCCTGCATCTACAGTGCAACAGATACATTACATGATTTACCCTGTAACGCACTAGAACGGATATAGAAGGACCCCTGTCGCGTAAAACCATGCGATGAGAACAAAGCTGATGCAGTAACTAGAAACTAATCGTACTCGCGACCATGTACCCTATATCATCTAGGATTCTGCTGAAGGTAGGTTCCTTGCTATTCATGTAATCACGTGATCATTACTACGTGATTGTCTTGTCATATGACAGAACATTGCCGGAGCATATCGGGAGGTTGGGGAAGAGGGTTAGCATATATCAGGATAGATCGATCAGGCCCGTACTGTCCGAGCCAGCTTCTAACCTATCGAACCAATCTATTATCCACCTCTGTATATCGTCGTGGATCGTCTTTGGCGGACGATTAAAGGAAGCAATCATAGTATTAGGGGAATTAGTGTTTTTAATGGATATAAGATGGAAGGGGGTGGGGACAAGAGCCACGAATAGAAAGTCGACATCGTTTTAATAGGAGATCGAGTTCAAATAAATGCGCGGCGGTGATGAGATGAGAGAGATAGACGGGAGAAGACATGGCGAATTTATAGGCATTAGAGAGCTTTACTACACTGCGTGTCCTTATTACAACCATAGTTCATTATATCATTATCTCATCGCAACCGTATTATAGTTATCGCACCTAATAGAGTTATGCCTTATAGTTATATACCTATTAAGAGGTTTACAAATTATTACTAAACTATTCCTAAGGGTTTAAAGCAGGGTCTCACAGACGTAATTCTCTTAGACTCTTACCTAGTTTTTTACGTTAACTGCACGGTCGTTTTTTGAATACCCGATTTCGGCAGGTTAGGGTGTGGCCTGCCATTCTTTTCTGAGATAAATGATCTGATACGCCATATAGCAAACAGAGAAAAAAAAAGTCAAGTCATATCAGGATAGCCAGTTTAGAAGGAAGATGCATGTGTTCATCAGTTAAGCGCCAGCACCGCTACTTTGACAACAGCATTTACGCACTGCCTCCTCACATACTTATAGCAGCTCATCTAGCAATGCACCAACTCTATTCAGCTATTAATATTACGCGTAACCATTGAGAGCGCTCGGCAGTTGTCAGTAATGTACCAATAGTCTATATTCAGGACGGAGGGGTTAGTATCAGCTAGTATATACATAGAAGAATACTAACCATATTTTTAAAGAAATCATAGCGCTTCCTGTTTACTCAGCGGTACTCAAGCTTTCGATCGGCGAATTAGTAGCTAGGTAGGTAGCTACTAGGGAATCTCTCCTGTTGGGTAATTTTAATGTTTTTTGTCTCGTAACTACTCTTTAGTACTACATCGGAACAACTGCCGAAGGACCGATCACCATGACGTACTTACAGCAACAACATCATCTGCAATTTATAATAACATCATAGCACGATGGGTTTTTTTGTAAGTCCGCTGCTTTCGAGTCTTGATACGTCAGGTGGGTCGAATAGCCCGGGCTAGACTGAGATACAGATTGGCTAGTTGCGCTGTGATGATGTCTTTGATAACCAGGTACAAACCTGGTATAAACTCGTGGGCGATTCCAGCTCGAGGCCTCGTCATTCATATCTAAAATACACATACTTTGCAGCAATGTCTCTCAAATACAACAAGATTCTTGTAGTTGGCGCGACTTCGGGTATTGGCTGGGCACTGGCGGAACGGATCGTACAAGATGGTAAACAGGTCATTATCGTAGGTCGGCGACAAGACAAGTTGGACGAATTCAAGAATCAGCACGGCAGCGACAAGGTCGACAGTTTTGTCCTCGACATCACGAAATTGGACGAGATCCCCAAGTTTGTCAAGGACGTAATAAGCAAGCACCCGGATCTCGACTGTGTGTTCCTCAACTCCGGTATCCAGCGCGGCTTCGACTTTTCCAAGCCCGAGACGATCGATCTCGACGTGCTGGAAATGGAGTTCCGAACAAACTACATCTCTTACATGCATCTTACCACGGCATTCATACCGTTTTTGCAGAGACAGAGCAAGGAGACGTCACTTGTGTACACGACATCTGGATTAGCGCTGATGCCACTTCCGCGTTGTCCCAACTACTGCGCTTCCAAGGCGGCGTTGCATCACATGATTCTCGCTCTGCGACACCAGCTAGCCAATGGGCCTGGAAACATCAAGGTGATTGAAATCTTTCCGCCAGCCGTGCAGACGGAACTGCACGACGCGAAGCATCAGCCGGATATCAAGGATGGAGGGAACATTGGCATGCCGCTGAGCGAGTTTACCGACGAGGCGTGGAAGGGACTGATTGAGGGCAAGGAGCAGATTCCAGTGGGGTTCACAGTCAAGGCGTTTGATGCGTTTGAGAATAAGAGACAGGAGCTGTGGAAGCAAGTGTTCTTGTCATAGTTGGGGACTGGATGGGCGATGGGCGCGGACGAGAGACGGGCGGGGGTCTTGGCGGGGTAGGACTCGGAAGACCGACTCAAGCCACAGTTGCAGGAGACCCTGGGACTTTAGTCTATACGCAGGCAATGCTATGGCTGGGTGGAAGAGAAGCAATGACACGACGACAACGACGACTTCAATCTATAGAAATGCATGCACAGTTGGTCGTACGGACGTTGCTTCTATTGCGCCGTGTTTCGTCACGATCCGTAAATAAATATCGCGTCCCACTGCTGCCGCGCAGGCAGCACAAGTAAATTAAGCACAGCCCCAAATGCGGCGCAGACATTCCGAGTAGTGTGCCTATCCTCGTATTCAACTCCACTCTGCACCTTTGGGCCACTCTTCTGTCACTCGACTTTGCATTCTCTCTCCGTAACCAACAAACACATACTACCTCACTTATCACGCTCCGACTGTGGAGGGGCATTTTGTTTCTTTGCGCATTCAAAGCGACACACGGATTACAACCAGCCAACCTTCAACATGACGGACAGCTTCAAGAATGCCATGATCAACCGAGCGTTGGGCGACATCAAGAACGTGAGTCTGCGCCGACTCTGCTCCTGGCGTTGATTCTTGTTAAACAATGACAGAACCTCCAATTTCTCGTCGAATCCAATGTCCTCACCTCTGCGCAACACGATGCCATTGCTGCCCAGCTGCCCGTCTCAGCCGAGAACAGCACCCGCATGCTTCCCGCCGCCGCCGTGCCGACTCAACAACTCGCGCAGATGAACATCCAGAGCCAGCCTACGCCGCCGCCAGAGAACAAGGCCGCCAACATTGGCTACTACGCCGACGCGCCTGCCAACGCGCCACCGCCAGCCTACCCCTCTGTTCCCGCCGCCCCCGCAGGGCCCCCCGTGCTGTGCTACGCCTCGGCCATGTACCAGTACAACGCCCAGGACGCCGGCGACCTGGCTCTCATGCCCAACGACAAGATCGCCGTCACCGAGTACATGAACAACGAGTGGTGGAAGGGCCGCAACGAGCGCACAGGCATGGACGGCATCTTCCCCGCCAGCTACGTACGCAAGGAAGAAAAGAGCGTCATGCCCGCTTACACGCCCGCCGCCCCGGCTCCCTCCAACTACGGCAACATGCCCCTCGACGTGGCCTCTGGCGCCCAGGCCCCGCCCGCCGAGCCCAGCAAGGTGGAGACGCAGGGCAAGAAGTTTGGCAAGAAGCTGGGTAACGCGGCTATCTTTGGTGCAGGTGCGACAATTGGAAGCAAAATTGTCAATGGCATCTTTTAATCGCTTACATTTTTTTACAGGTGCTACCATTGGTGGAAACATTGTTAACTCCATCTTCTAGTCTGGGAAGATGGCCTTCTTTGTTGTGTTTTTTTTGGGACGGATTAAGGGAGGGGGTAATGTATTGCTGGGTTCTGGACAGAGATTTATTCATGTCCAGACGCTGGCTTTCTTCTCTGGGAGGCGTTTGACGGCGTTTGATCATCATGACATACATGTGTTTATCATCCATTGTCTGGTATCTCATTGGTTATTTCAGTTGCGATCAAACAAAAAAAAGAATGCTGATTTTAAGCTATGTGAAATGAATTAGGATGAGATTTCTTGATGAAGGCCCCTTATTCGCATGGCGTGATAATTTTTTTGGACTCGAAATATAGTTACTTTAGTCAACATCTCCCGGCTGACGCTTACTACACAAGTAGCCATGGCAAAAACTACTTCACACAGTGTAAGTCTCTCTCTCCACCATCCCTTTTCATGATTATGATATCAATTTTTTTTAAAAAAAAGAAACATATATATACAATCAATCCTTTCCATTTCAAAGAATCCCCACCTCCCTTCACATACTCACTCTCAAGCATAAATATAGCACATAGGCCCCTCGGTCGTACTCATCAACTCCTGCATCTTCCTCGGTGGACTCGCCGCATACCCCAGATCAATCACAGTCTCAAGCGTCGTATTCGCGCTAGGCGGAAAATCCCTAAACGTACCAGTTCCGGAAATACCAGTAGCACCAAAGCGCGTCTTGCGGTCGAGCTGCTGCCAAATCCACCACACGCGGTCAATCTGCGCGTGGTGCAGGTAGAAAAGGGGGTCACCGGGGGAGGCGAAGAAGTCGCGGCCCGGGTCGCCGCCCATGCTGTAGTGGCCGCCGCCGTGGACACCGAGGTCGGGAGTACCGGGCCAGCCCTGCATGGTCATTTGGAAGTTCCAGATGTCGTTGTTTTTGAGGATGAGGCTGGCGATGGAGGTAGCGTTTGCCCATTTTTTGTTGCAGTAGTCGGTTAGGTCGCGTTTGAGGCAGCGGGGGTTGTAGGAGCGGCCGTCGCCGTTGGAGATTGTGGTGCCGTTGGTGAGGTCGAGGTTAGCGGGGCCGAGGTTGACCTCTGTTGGAGATTGTTAGTTATGTGTTTGTTTTTTTTCTTCCTTTGAAAGAATTGTGAGTTTGGGAGGGGGGTTGAAAAGGGACTGCTTACTCATGTTCTTGAAGGGTCCGCTCTTGACGCAGCCACCACCTGTACCGGGGGGAAGACGGATTTCAGGTGGTCCAGTGCCGGCGATGACGACTTCGCCTTGGTTGGGGATGGCCTCGCCGTTGCCGGACATGGAGTACTCTGAGCCGTCGAGCATGGCGGACTTTTCAAGGCCGCTCTGGGCGGTCAGGGCCCAGTTCCAGTAGGGTTGGTAGCCCTTGTAGCCGCACTCATTGCGGAGGGCTTGCTCGTATTGCCAGGTGAAGTAGCGGTGCCAAGCGAGGAAGGTACCAGTGTAGTGGATGAAAAGAGTCTGGTCAATGTGGTTTGCGACAAAGTCATCGAATCGGGATCGGACTCCTGCTGCAAAGGAGGCGGGCGTCTTGCCAGTCTTTGCTTGCAGACACAGGACTGCATCTGTGTAGGCCTTGCGTTCCTGCTTGGACAAATCGTTCCATTCGCGGCGAATGGCAACGTTGTTGGCATTGCAAGTGCCCCGTTTGGCATTGTTGGCTTCTAGCGCAGCCCTGACCTGCTCTTCGGCGAAAGAAGCAAGCTGGTCAATTTGCTGGCTGGCGACTGCAGGATCACTCGAGGCTTCAGTAGGTAGCGAGGGGTCATTCTGTGGCGCTGGTAGTGCGTTTGACACCGTTCCAGCAGCAAGGAGGAGCGCTAGAGAGTTGAAACGCATCTTGTCCTGCAGCTCACGGAGAATTAGGCTTAGGCAAAGAAAGGCGAGGGGTAAAAAGCAAAGTGATGGAAAGCGGTGCCACCAGGAAAGAAGCAGACATGTTTGTAAGGATATATAGTTAAAAGAAAGCAGTGTCTCACTCAAGGGTTGCTCTAGTAATTTTGGGCGTCCAATGCTCAAGTGCCGGGGTTGGGGGCGACAGATACCGAAAGCCACATCAACCATACTCCAATTGTATGCTCGACCGCGGCTAGGCTGCGGCGTAGGACAATTTCGAAGCCCATTAGGGCTTACGTCGAGGCCATGTGGCAGTGTAAACCAATGACAAGCAAGTCCCTAGGGCATAACATTTCTTCTAGTTCAGGCAGGATGGCCTAGTAGTGAGTATTTTAGGAAGCCAGAATCCTACCTCTAAGATTAAGTCAATGGGCCGTCCTTACAAGAGCCTGTCCACCGCGAATTATAGCATAGTTCCAAGCCTGTAGTTGGGGAAACAGGTGGCTGTTGAGATCGGATAGAAGCTCCCGAGGTTCTGGACGAACACTAGGAAGCCTGGTGTCGTGCAATGGCGATTCAGCTGAAGCCGGCGGCCCCATCACCCCATTGCCCCCCATTGTCGCTTAGATAGATGGGCGCGGGATCCATCAGTGGTGCTATCGCTCCCGCTGAACACATGTGTTTGCACGAGTAATGGGTGGGAAATCGATACAATGTAGTTTTGCCGTCTGGACAGCGGACTACGGACTTCTTCAAGTCCGCCACACTTGCATTGACTTATCTTTGCAATCTGGCCCATATCCCTGCCTCAGCTGCTGGAGGCGTTCACGTGAAGCTGGCATCCTTCAGCAGCAATCGCCGGGTCACTTGGCAATCTTGCTGTGCCTGCCGTATCCAACACGGACTCTTGTCTTTTTTGCCAGCTCTTGCATTTCGTGCGGTCCAGAAAAGCGTCTTTACGAGAATACAGATCCTTCGAGGTTTTGATTGACCATTTTGGGCCTGGTGTCGACCGAGTCGAATGCGTGGCGCATGGTAAAAAGGAAGCCATGTCCGCTGGCTGTTATTATTTGGCGCATGGCTAAACCCTGCCAAGTGCTAGTACGTCCCGTCCTGCCGGCTCCCCGTCCTGCATCCTTTCCCTTGCGCACAGACGTTTTATGGCGCAACCAAGACGTCTTGTCCTACTGGATAATCTTGACTTGCATTCATGCCCAAGGATAAACTTCTTCTATTGGCTACCGCGCACTGGTCAAGCCTTGTTGAAACCTGCGTGCCGCCTTCGCACGAGATATTCAGGCCAACCACCACGATATTAACCGGTACTATGACAGTTACAAACTTCATTACCCTCCGAGGACGCCTTCTTCCTCTCCCTCCCTCTCCCGTCCCGCAAGAGGCTCGCTTTTCTTTCGGCATGCCGTTGTGGCAGGTAACAAGCACGTGTGCGAACAGATTTACTTGATGTCTGGTTGCCAGCATACACATTTGTGTAGACACATGCTTACTGGGATTACATGCAGGATGCGGGGTACAAATGCCGTCCTGTAAGCCGCAGCGCATCTAATGATCCTGATTCACATCTAGCCTGGGTACTCTCGCCGAATATTGACCGCGTCAATACCGTGAGGTGATCCAGGATTTCTCCTGGAGGATTCTCATGCCTAGTTTCGAATACATGCATTGCCGAGTCTGAACTACGGCCCATCACACTTCCTCTCTCGTAATCTCGCTGTTTATCGATGGATTGGTTGCCAGTCCCGCGGCGGATTCGGGCTCGATCGGCAGCGGTGACATCCTGTATGGCTTCACCACCCACGTGGAGAGTGGCACAGTAACCTGCAGAGTGTAAATTTGTTCCAGGAATATGTCACTCCCTCCATCTCAAACTGCTGTGCGGGGCAAGACAACCAGATCGTGAACGTTTTCTTTTTTTTTCTTTTTGCTACGATCTTGAATAGCATCTCTGCAGTTCATGTGATGAGTACTTGCATCCTTCCTTGACATCGTGTGAGTAACGTTGCAAGTGCCGATCCTTTCTGGCAACTTGTTGATCGCGACCTTTACCGCACTCGGACATCGCTACGAGAATCGATTTACCAGCTGCTCGCATGGACCCTGGGGGTTGATGTCGTGCATGCGTAGCTTGTACCTGATCAAACGCATCTGGATGCTCCGCCGAGCATCCGTCTCAAGCAGGTCCTGCTGGATGAACACCTTCTTTTCTGCAGGACTAACCCAAATCCCTTCAAGTCCGTTCCCAGCTGCCCGTAAGTGGCAATTGCAATAGATGGCGACTGATTTCCTATTAGCTGGGGCTAAGTACACCTACCGCATCAAAGCAGGCTATTACTGACAAAATGGTGCCTGTTCCCTCGACCTCCGTGTGGCGGTTTTAAGGTTCTGCGAGTCCAGTCTCAGAAAACATTTCACCCTGTAGTCTTGCGCCCCCTGGATCAATGGGCTGGTCGGTTTCGGTTGGCTGCAGTCGCTTGTTAGCACGGCGGCTTGGGGGTTCCTCTCATAATTAAGAACATGGCATGCGCCTGGGTCTAAGGTCTCACAAGTTCCCCAATCCAGCACATACGTTTCCTTGACCATGATTCAACGCGCCGAGATGGCGGCGGTACGGCCAGACGAGAATCAAGGGCCTACTATTCTGGGGGCCACTCTGTCAGTTTTCATCCTGGCAGTGATTACCACGATAGCAAGACTCTATGTTCGCATTCGGATGATCCGCAATGTGGGGTGGGATGTGAGTGTTTTCAACAACACTGTGGGTCGATAGTTGCTGATCTTTCCGCCCTTTTAGGACTACACGATGATTTTGTCAATGGTTTTGGTATGTTCGTTCACACGCCTTCCTCGTACACTCGCTGATGGATGAAAAAGTGTATTGCAGGCCAGTGCGTAATCATACCGCAGGTCTACTATGGCGCAGGTCGACACATCGAATACATTGACCCCAAAGACTTTCCACAAGCAATGAAGTTGAACTTTATATCGCAACCGATATATCTCTTCGCCATATGTTTTGTCAAGATCTCTGTGGGCTTCTTCCTCTTGAGAATTGCAGTCAGGCCTTTTTTCCGGCGTCTCATCACGGGAATCATGAGTGAGTTGACATGGCCTCTCCTTGAGCACTACATCCAAACCTTTACTAACCAACACTAGTATTCATGGGCGTCTACACATTCGGCTGCGTTCTAACTGTCTTCTTGCAATGTAGCGATGTCCGAATGATGTGGGATCTAACAGTAAAAGGCACATGCTGGACCGTAACGCAAATCAAGATCCTCGGATACCTCAACACCGTTCTGAACATGATTACCGATCTTGCCTTCTCTATCGGCATACCCGTAAGTCGTTCTCCAACCCATCCCCCCCCCCCCACACACACAAAGTAACAACTATCTAACACCACACCCCCACGCAGATCCCAATGCTCTGGGGCGTTCAAATGAACCGCCGCCACAAAGCCTCCCTAATCTGCATCCTTGGCCTCGGCCTCTTCGCCACGGCCGCTTCAATGATCAAGCTCTCCTACATCGGCAACTACGGGCGCGCGGGCGACCTAATGTGGGACTCGCGCAACCTCACCATCTGGACAGTCCAAGAATGCAACGTCGGCATGGTCGCCGGCAACCTTCCTTGCCTCAAACCGCTCTTCCGCTCCATCCTCGTCTCCACCTACGGCAAAGGCTCCCGCAAGACTACCCAGCCTAAATACTTCTCCGATGCGTATGCAGCGGGGACAAAGGAACGATCTACGAATAAAAGCTATGGACCGCTCGGCTCACCCAAGTTGGAGGATCGCGGCTTTTTCGACGGCGGCGAGGCTCCTGCAGCGCATCATGCGATGGGCGGGAAATCGTACATGCTTACTACAATCGACGCCACCCACGCGCACCAAACAACCAAAGATACCACCACCACCACCGCACCCTCCGTCAATTCCTCAGGCAGAAGCTCGCCGGCTGCTGTCGGGGGTGATGCGCGAAGTAGCACAGAGAGCTTTGCACGACTGAATCGCCATACTTCTGTGCATGGCCGCGGCGGTGCACATGAGTTGGGCAATATTACAGTGACGACGGAGGTCGATGTGAGTGAATCTGTTCGCTCGCCCTTTCAGGATTCAAGGCCCCCGGCACAGTTTAAAGGGAGGGATATGGTGTAAGGGTTTTTGGAAGAGACATTCTTCTTTTTTACTCACGAAGAGAGTTTAAACGTGTATATGTTTGTGTGTGTGTGTGTGTGTGTGTGTGTGTGTGGGTTGAGAAGGTGCTTTATGATTATGCGTAATGGTTTGCTTTTTTTTGATATGTATCATCACTTGGAACGAGTTCCAAAAGAGGGGGGATCTCACGTCACGTGTGACCCTTTTTTTCGGTGTTTTCTTTTTCTCTATAGTTTTATACCTTTTTCATTATCATCATCTTTTCTCTGATATCACGCCTTTAATATACATCGCACTCCGTATCCTCCAAAAAAAAACCTGGGCTTGTCAGCCTCTCTCTCTCCTTCCTTTTTTTTCGTTTGTAATCGAGATGGTGGCGTGATCGCAGGAGCTCTCTATCAGTCCAGCTGCACGCGAGATTGAAGCGGCGAAAGGGCAAACGTTCAAAAAATACACAGGTGGAGAGTAAAAGTCAAGGTAGTATGAATAATAGGATAGTTATATTTATAGTTATAGAAAAGGAAAAAGGTTTATTTACAAAGGTAACGGGACGTCAACGGAGTCTGCCGAAAAAAAAAACAAGGACATTGTGGTGGTATCTGACAAAGGAAATATTCTTCTCAAAGCGCTGTTGAGCTGCTTGTGTTGGGATGAGGGATGGGGGGTTGGGTATATATGGGTCTATGTGATGTCTTCGTCGTGCGGTTGGGTCCTTCATCTACGGCGTCTGGTTGAAACCTGCCAACAAACGACGTGGGTGGTAAATCTATCGCGTCTCTCTTGGCCCCTTTGGTCTCCGAGCGCTTTGGTCATTTTGCTTCTGTTGCGGCTGTGTATGTGTGTGGCTGGCAACGAGCTTTTTGTGACACGCAAGGGGGGTTGGGGTGGTCTTGTGCTCATCTTCTCTTTTTTTCGTCTCTTCGCTCCTTTTGGGTGAAACTGGTTTACAAGTGTCGCAACTTAGAGTCCAAGTGTTTCTGTCTAATAGGTTCCCGAGTAAGATTCCCTTGGGTTTGGTACTCGGGAGGTGGCGCGGTGGCGCCGGCGCCGGGCGCTACGTCATTCGGCTTGATGCAGCTGAGACGGCGCGGATGCGCGTTTGTGGCTTTCACGGAGAAAGTCAGGTGGGTTAAAAAAAGCTCACGGAAATTTAGCGCGAGCCAAACTGCGACGACGCTCTCACTTGGCCGAGGAGTCGTCGTCAGCTGTGGATGTTGGCAGGACAATTTCGTAACCTTGGTCGTTGGCAGTGCGGTTTTGGCTGTTGGTTTCCCAGCACCAGGTCTCGCGCCACATGCTGGAAAGCTGTCGGCGGTTGCCTTGGGCGGCGATTTCTTCTTCGTCGGGCTGCTCTTGGATCACGTGAATCTTGATTTCGGACCCATCGGACGAGGGCAGGCTCTCGAGAGATGCAGCAGATAGCTTGCGGAAGCGATGGACATCGGCATCCATGGGCTTGTCGAGCCAGTCATCCATCTCCTCGTCAGACATTTCGCTGCGGGAGCTCTTTGACGAGGTCCAGGAATAGGAGCTTTGAGGGGTTTGAGGTGGCGAGGTGGATGGGGCTTGGTTGATGGTTGATTCGTAGGTAGCCTGTTTCCAGTGGACGTAGGTTTGCATGCCTTGGACAAACTCTTTGCTGGTTTTCCGGTCCATGGGCGCAAGGAACTGCTGGATGGGAAAGAAGCTTCCTTCGATTGGTGAGGTTGGGGGCGAAAGGACAGCACAGGAGACTGGTCGCTCGAGTTCGGTGTGCTTGGTCAGGTCGGGGAAGTAGTCGCGGTCAAGGTCCGGGGTAGAGAGGAGGGATACAGTGGATACTCGTGAACGATCAGACGACAGCCTGAGGAGGGAAGCGGAGTCGTCGACCTTGAGGGAGCGCATGCGAGATATGAGGTGGTCGGGGGTGTTGAGGCGCTGGAAGAAGGACTTCTTGGGCCGGAGAACATGGGGCCGCAAGTCGTCATAGGGAAGAGCAATAGTGGTGGTCATGTTGGCTTGGTGCCTAGCGTGTGTAGTGGCGGAGAGTCGACGACAAGATGGTGTGCAGGTGATGGGCGGTGTTTATGTTTGTGGGAGCATATTAGGCTTGCTTTTTTGTTGTTGTGATGTTGTTTTGTGGACGGGAACGACGGGGCGTACTGGATACAAATGGGCCTGGCTGCGCGTTTCGGGACAGCTAGGGGAAACTAGCAAAAGCAAGGCGGGGCAATAGTCTTCGTCAGCCCAGCTGAGAAAAACGCTTGATCCATGCAGTCGAGGGTTGGGTTTAATCAGACTGCAAACCCCCGACCATACGCTGATTGGCCGTGCCACGTTTCTTGGGCCGAGTCGTTCCATGGGCCATCCGGTAAGTGTTCGGGGGGCCAGGGCGATGACCTCAACCTCCCTCACTGCTCGGCCTCCGCCTCCGGGATACGGCTGCTCGCCTACCCTACCATGCATGTATTCCCATGTCCAGATACTTTGACATTACAGCACATGTCTACGGCAAAAGCAGCCACCCACTGGCGCAACTGTCGACGTGCAGACTCGACATGGTGGCCCGCCCGAGTGCATGCAGCTGCGCTTGTCCTGCTACATGTGTAACATGCACACGTCCTGGTTACCACTACAACTTGGTCTCTTACAAACGACGGATCCCAAAACACGACAGCCGGGATGCCTTGGAATGAAGGGGTGGAGAGCATCATTAACCGCCACGTTCCAGACCACGCTCCCCCATCCCCGATCCATGGCACGTGCCAACTTGCCCGAGTGCGTGCAGATATGCCGTTGGACAGGCCGACAAGGTGAAGCCCGGCTGTGGACTAGAGGTCACTAGCAAATGAGACGATCCATGAACTGCCCGTTATTGGAAACCGGTCCGAAACTCTGTCTGGCTATTAGCAAATTCTGCATCTGGCAATCAAAACACCTGTAACTTTTTTTTGCGTCCCCTCAATTCACATCTGCCCTGGGTGAACGTCGTCTGTGCGTCCACGTTTCGTGAGAATTACGCAGTGCTCCACAGTCGTGTACAGTATTTTCACCCTGTGCATCCATCCTCTGGTCTAGCCCCGATGCAGATCAAACCCCCCTTTACGCTCTAACAAAAATAATTTTGTCAAACTATACGTACTTACGTACATACGCAGACTCTCGTGACGCAGTGTCTCAGCCGCCAACGACTTCGTGTTGTAGGATGAAGCTGGTGGAATCCAGCCGCCCAAATCTTCCAAGTCGTACTACTGATCTACCGGCATCGTCTTGGTTGTGATGACCCGCGTACGGCCTGATCACCAACCGTAGTAGATCGGCACAAGGCAACTTCCCACACGGGCTAGGCTACATCTCGGTTCATGCCCAAAGCTACTGCGCATCTCCTTGCACCTGACGCTGCGGCATTTCGTCGTCGTTGTTTTTTTTGTTTGCGCAGAGTCAAGTGGCTTGTACGCCGCAGCTGGCAGCAACAAGCCTCGCTGTGCGCCCCTTACCACGACCATGGCCATGTCACACCTCTCATCAAAATGCTCAACTGCAACCAATTTGGGCCTGAGACGTACGCATATTGGCCGTCAACCTGTCCGGCAGGCGCACGCGAATCTCGGGATACTTGTCGCGAGGACCGTTGCTACACTCGCTCGTCCTAACGAGCGCGGCACCGGCTCCTTACGCCAATCTACAGGGAAGCCATGCCCGCTACCGCGCACCCGGACGTACCAGGCCGTATGCTTGACTAGCTGTCGGAAATTCGATGACGACACATGCACTCTCCGGGGATTTGGGGTACGCTTCATTTTGGGAACATGCCGTTAGCCGTACTTTTTTCGAAGCTCTCGCGAACAAGTCCCTTTTCTCCTAGTCGTCGCCGAACACGATTGTTTTTCTGGCTCACACCAGCCTCGCCCTTGGAACTGATAGTGGCGTTGCACGAGGCGCTGCACCATAGTTGCCCAACAATATTAATCGGGCCGTGTCACGAGCGCTTGTGTCCTGTTGTTTCATGCCAGGCCAAAGAGAAGCATGGTGAAGTTTGGCTCCAAATATCGAATTTCCACGTCAAGACAGCTGGGCCAAACTTTACTCGGCCATCCATTGGTCAACACTGCCTGTGCCCTGAAATTTGCTTCACTTGCGCAAACTCCTCTCCCGTCAGCGGCCTGCTAGGGTACAGTTCAACAGCCCGTGGCATCGATAAAGTGTTTTCAGCTTACCAAAGCACTTGACGACCATACAGACTGCGCGCACAATCTCTTTGTTGAGATGCACATGCTGCGCAGGGTTCGGGGGCCCGGGTTTTCGTCAGCACATCTCGGGTACCTGACGCCAAGGCGGGAGGGTGAATGCTCGTTCCGACGTCTTAATCAGAAAGTTGCATCTCCTGTGTGAACACCACTCGACTTCACATGTGTACAAAACGACCAAGGCATTTTCAGAAACGCCCTCTCAAAATTAGTGTCACTTTGACAGAAAGCCAAACCATACAAACTCGCCTTTTCGACTGCTTAATTAGTTAGTAGGCGCACGGCCCGGTCACACACCCACACATGGTTGCAGGTAACGCGTTCTGTCTGAGTACACAGCCAACAGGGATATTGCCAGACACAGCACCTGTTGCTGCCCCAGCTTTTCGACTTTTGGAGTCCGGACGACGCGGACGAAGGCGTTGCGTAGGAAACGAGGCTTCGCACAGCTACGCACAGCTTAGGCACAGCCCACGCAGCTAGTCAGCGCCATTGACACAATGGTCTCTCTCTGTCCAACGTCCCTTACTGACAAGCAAGGAACGCCCTACATTACTATGTGATTACCCCAACTCGCTCATATACCATGAATAAGTAAACCGGTAGTACTCACGGCACAACACGCCCCTTTTCTTTCTAGAACGCCTTACATACGTAAGTACAAGTGTACAACTGCACATACCCACTTGGCCATGACAGCCAAGGGTTGTTCTAGCCACTTTCGTCTCAGTCAGCAACTTGTTGCACTACTTTCTTACCTTTCTTGATCATCTT